ATAAGACTTCTGTTCAGCTAGTATTTAGTTGACTGTTTGGGTTGATTGTTTTATAATTTAGTTGTAATTCCAGTTTGGTCCTGGGAGGAGGTGAGTGTAACTTCTACCTACTCTGCTGCCTTCTTAGTTTCCTGCTGTTCTTATTTTGACTGCCAGGCACCTCTCAGTGTTACAAAGAGAGTAGGTATAGTCACAGAATATGCAGGTACACCTACAATATTCTAATATTTAATTCACTGAACATTTGAAGGTTGAGTAATTTATATTCTATAAGCACAGAAAAAGTAGTTACAGATATGTAAGTTCTTCCATAAATGAAAGTGTTTATTTGGTGAATATCAGAATGATAAACTCTTAAATGATCTCCGTGCTTCTTTCATTAAACTCTGTGAACTCACACATTCATACAAATGCTTTAGCCCTTTCAACCATGTTAAACTCTCAATGATGCTGTGTTGTGTGTCCCTTATTAAAAATAACAAAACTTTGTTAACAAGGATTTTATTCCCTCAGCTTTCGTTCAAACACAAGGAACCATGATGAGTTTGAGATATTATTCTGCTTTCAAGTTATGTAGTAAGCCTGCCACAGTTTTCTAAATGGTGACAAAAGACATGAGCCTCCTGGGTCATAGAAAAAGTATATTATGACTCATGACAAAGCAAGCTGTATGAACTTTATATTTGCATTTTCCCTCTTGCCCTCCAAGTCACCCAGGGTTGATGCAAACTAGCACAGATAGATATTATGTACATAGTGGGCTTGTGTCATAATTAAGGAACCTTAAACTTAGGGAACTCACAATCTTACAAGAGGACGTCTTGCACACTTGCTCAAAGGCTGCCTTTGAGGGGGATTATCTTGTTTATTATCCTGGATAGTAATGAAATCTAATCTACCCTCTGCTTTGGAGGGAAACTCTCTCTCTAGTTTCCAAGGTTTTTTGCTATACAAACATCTGTGAAAAATTATGAACAAAGACTCTCCTTGCCTCTTCAGGAGACACAGAAACAGGACAAATTCTCTAAAAGACACATCCATTAGCTAACAGACATTATAGTTTATCTTAGAAAGTTGGAGGTTTACAAGTTTAAACCATACTTAAGTTAATGTCCTCCTTCCTTCCCCTCAGCTCATATAATTAGCATATATCAAGAACAAGAACAGTCAATGACCGTTTATTAGATCTGTAGATAATTCTAATCACTGCTTTATTGTACAATAACCACTCTTTTTCGTAGCTGGTTAGGAGATAAAACAAATGATAAATACCTGCATTTTCCATTTTGAGAAATAAAAGTTTTCTAAAACTGTTTAAAATCAGTTGTTAGCAACATAATAGTCAACTTTTATAATAAAATGTGTAAGCTGATTTCAATGCAATAATTTAATTAGACTAATAAATACATAATTTGTATTTCAAATTAAATATTGAGCAAACAACTGATGACTACACTTTATTTTAATGTATAATGCATTTCATACATGAGAGTTGAATAATAAAAGTCTACTTAAGCCTGGCCGATGTGGCTCAGTGGTTGAGCATCGATCCATGCACCAAGAGGGTGCCGGTTCGATTCTCGGTCAGGACACATGCCCAGGTTGTGGGCCCGATCCCTACTGGGGGGCATGCAGGAGGCGGCCAATCCCTGTTCTCTCTCATTGATGTTTCTATCGCTCTCTCCTTCTCCCTTCCTCTCTCTCTAAATCAATAAAGAAAAAAATAGTCTGCTGAAAATTGAAAGTTGTTTTATTGAATGTGAATACTTTGTAGTGCTGGATTCTTATTGTATACATTCAGTTTGGTGGCCATCTCAAAACTTTGATGCAAGAAAAACAAAACAAAATCAGACATCAGGAACATCTCTAGTTTTAGCCCCTTTATTTTTATTGACAGAGCCAGATCAGAAGATTTCTATGGAAAACAAATGCTATCAGAGACTAAGTATGCCCATTGAAAGTGTGAATGAAAACAAATATTATTTGATAATTTAGTGTTGTTTTAATTTTAGAAGATTCCCCTATTTTTCATGCTTTTCATTTAAAGTTTCTTGCGTAAATTAGAATAAAATCATTACTGCCCATGTGTTATCGTTTGAATCTTTTAAAAACTTGAATTTTTTTCTGATTAAATAGGTCTAAAACATAATTTACAAAAATATATCCAACACACTAATAACAGATAAATAATATGAGGCAAATAAAAAAATTTTTTTTTTATCAGATACGTTCTTGAAATAAAAACTAAAAATATAGTCTTTAATTCTAACTGGTCAAAATTTGAGAACATTAAAATGGTAAAAGGCTGCCATCTTCAGGGTTCTCTAGGTTAATTTATTCTAAAAATGTATTATATTCTGTGCTGAGTATCTAACTTACTGGTCTTGGTTATGTTAATGTGATGTATTATTATAGATGCTAGTTACTGTGTATATATGAAATAAAGGTATTATCCTCTCTCTATATATATTTTTTTTTAAATTTTCACTTGAGGATATGTTTTTATTGATTTTTTTTAGAGAGAGAGACAGAGAGGAAGGAAAAGAGAGAGAGAAACATTAATGTAAGAGAGAAACATCAGTGGGTTGCCTCTTGTATGCGCCCGACCTGGGATTAAACCTGCAACCTTTTGGTGTATGAGATGACATTCCCATCAACTGAGCCACCCGGCCAGGGCCTGTACCTATATTTTATTTTATTTTATTTTTTATACTCACCCAAGGACATTTTTCCACTTTTTGCTCAGATAGAATGTGAGGGAGAGAGAGGAAGAGAGAGAGAGAGAGAGAGAGAGAGAGAGAGACATCGACTTGAAAGGGACACATTGAGTGGTTGCCACCCGCACGACCAACCAGGGCCGGGGACAAACTGCAACCGAGGTACGTGCCCTTAGTGGGAACCGAACCCGGGTCTATTTGGACTGCAGGCCGACGCTCTAACCGCTGAGCCGAAAAGGCCAGGGCTGTACCTATATTTCTAAGCATAATGTTTCATGAATTCTGAAAATTACTAATACAAACATAATAAATAAAATATATGCTTGTTTCTGCATCTTTGAGAAAAAATAAATATACCTTTGTGATGATGAGTTTGTGAATTTTAAAGATAGACAACTCAATATTTTTAAACATTGAAGTTTACTCATTCACCATTTCCGAGAGAAGAGCTTGCCTTCTCTCTCTACGGAAGTTGAGAATAGCTATCAAGTACTAGAGAAAGATATATCCAGGTCTTTTTATTTTAGGTTCTTCTGATTTCACTATTATGTCTTAATTCCGCTTGTCATTTGATAAAATTTAGCTCAATAGAAGTCTTTGTATATGAGACAGAATGTGAGTATTTAGTTTACTTTGTTCTACATTTAAATCAAATCATCTTTTCAAATTTTGTGGATGTTTGCAGCTCAAATGTGGGTTCTATGGTTGATAATATGACAGTGATAGAAGCAACTTTTTAAGTTATTTTTACTTGATCCTCAGGAAAAATGAACAAAATCTTTTTATTTTACTTATATTGATATCTATCTCATGGTTTATATTTTTGTTAAAATATGTTTCATATCTCATTTCCTTTCACGATATTAGAAACTCAAACGGCATATATTTTTTTAAATGGAGAAACATTTGATTTAGTTGCTTGAATTTTCTCGATTAGTTTAATTGTTTACTGTGATTTCTTACTGACACTGAAACATTGTATCTGGAAGTACCAAATTTGCCTCCAGATGAAAAAAAACAACAAAAAAACATATATATATATATATATATATATATATATATATATATCTAACAAAGCATCCTGTGCTTCATGGGAGTTTAGATTTTATTTAATACAGTATGCCTACGAATTAAATATTTCACACATACATACTTAGTAAATATGGCAAAATGACTGACAAACCTCCCACTGAAGTAAATTCCAGTTATATTATCTTATTATATGGTAACAATAGCACCCACTTGCTAAATGTGTGACCTAGGAAAGTGATTACATTTTTTGGAAACTGTTTCTATGCATTTAATTTTACCCTAAAAATACATGCATGTAAGAGTATTGTGAAAATTAACTAACGCATATAATGATTTTAGCATAGTGCTCCATACATAATGAATGACCAATTAACATAAGTTGACTTAAAGATGAAGTTATGAAATCTGTCTTTCATATTTATGACTATGCAGATCAAAGGAGAGAAGAGGTACAGAAATTTGAGCTGCAAATAGCGAGATAGGGAACTCAGATATGTGTGCATATTTGTACATATACGTATGGGGGAAAGTACAATTTTGGTGGTAATGGTAGGCAGTGGGGAAGAACCTATTCAAGAAAATAAAATATTAGAGTCATATGCTGTCGGTTTAGTATTTGTTCATGTCTATCTCAAGTTATTTTACTTCTATCACATTATTTTAAGAATTTAATTTTTATTTTAATTATCAGAATTGTTATCTAACCACAGCATATTTATAATACTTGAACTTTTTTTTCCCTAGACACATTATTTGTTATTTAGTTGTAATCATACAATGCAACTTTTAATGTCTTTAAATTATCTTTATTGAATTAATGAAGACATTTCAGATATTAAAATGTGCAGTCTCTAGAAACATTTGCTAGGGCTTTGTCTAATCCTCTCATATGTTTGCTATTGTGGTCAGGTCCTGTTGGAATCTGATAATATTAGCAATACTTCTATCAGCAGAAATGGATGTTAAGAAAGTACAAACATATTCCTAGTTCATTTGCTGACTAAATACAGATCAAGGGCTTGATAATCTGATGTTCTTTTTTTATTAGCACAATATAAACAGCGGTTTCCTTATGAGTTTTTCGACTCTTCTCAAGGTGTTTCTTTCTGTCATATCCTGTTATTTTATGTTTCTATCTGCAGCTTCATTTAACATTACTAAAATTTTGTGTTCGTGCAATTTTGTCTCAATTTGGTAGCCAAATTATGAATTTTTAAAATTAAATTTAAAATGAAATAACCCCAATTGAATTTAGTTCTTAGAAAAGTTGCAAGAATGCTGTCTAAATTCAAGCAAAGTGTTGAAAATACTCCCACAAATGGGACATAGGTATTTCCAACCATCATCAGTTGTTATGATCACCGCCCTCATATAATGGTGTGATCTCAAAGGATCATCCAAAGCTCGCCTAGTCAATTTGTCTTCACTTTGGGTTCGTGGGGCATCAAGAGCAGGTCTCACAAAAATCTGAAGTTCCTCATTCTTTTTAGTATCATTTGATTTGCTCATCATTTTTAATGCCATTCTCTTACTTGGGGGATAGTAGTGGTGCGCCCTCGAATGTCTTCCAAATATTATGCGTCTTACCCTCTGGTTGAGAACGTTTGGGCGAATGACATGTGCTACATATTTTTGCTTGACACACGTGGTATTTTGAGGGAGATGTCTCTCACACAGCTGCTGAAGAATCATTCTTCTCCTCTCATAACGGTTAATAAATGGGATTCTCCATGATATTGAGAACTGGAATGGAATTTTGTAATTTACATTGATATAACAGATATCACTAGTTTTCCTCTGATTTTTTTCTGTGTGGAATCTTGCTCTATTAGTTAAGGGATGTGTTCTATTAGTGTTTGCTAGTGGTGCGTTCGGATGGGTAGGTCTCCTTAACCCTGACATGTGAGAGGTCAATTTTTCAGGAATGGGAACCTGATGTAGGAGGGATTCTTCTTCTTTTATATCTTCTTGAGGATTTCTTGGTTTCTTTTCTACTTCAAGCTCCTGTTCTTCTGCTGGTTGAAGAATAGCATGCTCCTGGGAGGTAGGCATGTCTAGCTCCCTGTTCATTGGGTTGCTTTCAACCTCAGAGATCATACTAGATTCAGCAAATGAAGGCTCTGTAGCTGTACTACTGTCATTTGGAGCCTCATTTTTTGAATTTTTTAGAGCATTATCAGCTGGATCACTTTCTTCTTTAGTAGGAGAAGACATCCTGGGTTCTATTTATAATAAAACAACAAAGATCTATTAAGCTAAGGAATACTTTAATTCATAAGAAGTCGGCTATTTAGTCCTGGCAAAAAGCATGTGGATGTGTTATTCCTGAGTTTTTCATACTTTAAATATATATTTTTCCCCCACACCTTTAATATCAGATTCACAGACCGACAAAATAAAATAAGGAAGAACCAAAACCAAGGGCAAATATAACTCCTATTGAATAGGTGTTCTCATTACTTAGTCTGAAACTTATATAAACTCATAACAAGATAAATTATCATCTGGTTAATATCAGAATGTACTCTCTCTACGCACTAGAGTGCATCTAATTCCCAATAGTCCAATCATTTCATTTGGATGGTGAACTAAATACAATTTTTATTTAATAAGATAATTCCAAATTAATGATCTGGGATTTTAAAATGAGACTAAAGTACAATGTATTTATTTTTACGAATACACATGTTTAGGAAAATGTGGAAATGAAATGGTTGCATTTGCATGAAGAGCAAGCTATTCTTCCTTGGGAATTTATCCTTTGTTTTATAAGTTTATCTGTTCTTTCTGAGCAATATCTATGCAAAGAGCAACAGTTATTAAATGTATGGGAGGGAAAGGCAGATCAGGTAAGAAGTAGGAATCTCAAGAGTGAAGTCCAAACTGAATCATTTTATTAAAATTCCTTTTAAGATCACCATTTTCTTTCCATTCTCATTGCTTCAGCAGTAATCAAGCTGATAATCACATCGTGCTGTTTTACTGCTGATAGTACCTGCTTTTTCTGATTCTAAACTCTTGGTTTACTTTTGTCTTACCTATTTCTTTCTTCATGCCACCTATCTGCTCAAACACCCAGACACCAGCAGCAGAAACTAATACTCTGAATGATATATTCCCCTTCCTCTCTATGAGGGGACTTAGGACAATCTGAGTGGGAAGATTTCTTTAGAGTAGGAAAATATATTACTTTAGAGTAGAAAAATAGAGTTTCTTACTGAAGGCAGGAGACTAAAAAAAAAAAAAAAAATCTGATGAAGCTGAAAAATTAAGAAGCATGGCTTCCATTGTTCATAGCTAGCTTTATAAGCTACCCTAGACAGAATTTATGGATAGGTCACTTGGATTTAAAGAAGTGACATCAGCCTTTATCTCTCATACTGCTGTCTTCAGAGACCCTCCATACTCGAACCCTACCTCCTCTGATTATCTTTCTTTCCTCCATTTACTCAACATTCTTTTTCTGTTTTAATAGTGCTGGTCTTATTATTATTTCATACTTACATTTAACTTACTTTTTTTTTCTTCAAAATTTGATATTAATTCAAGTGTGACTATTTTTATCTCAAACAGACTTTATTTATTTACTTGACTGAAGGCAGTGATTACAATGAGATTTTATTCAGTATGTTCCACTTTCTAGTACTGTTCTACTAATGTAATGGAATTATACTCCTTTAGTCTTTCTGCACTTTTAAGCACATTATTTCTTGACTTCTGTTACCATATGATAGTTTATTATCCTTCTCCTTTTTTATCCTTATTCAATTAGTATTTTTTACTTTGTTTTTATTTTTCCTAATATTTAGGAAAAATATTCAAGACATTTCTTGATACTGTAGTCTACTTTTTAAAAAAAAATTCTCTTATTCAGTGTTGTCATACACTCCCTAAATTTCAAGGAGAGGGTCTTTGTTGAGCTTAACTGAGTTTGATCTGTTTGAGATTGTCATTTAGAGAAACTATATTACCAAGCATTTCGGCATCAGCAGAGTTATAATGAAGGTGAGAAAGTAAACAATGCATACATTTTAGGAGATGTCCATAATAACAAAATTGAACTCACTAAGTTTGGTTGCTTCTAATAAGGTTGAGATCCAAAAATTTGGTGGGAACTGGAGTTCCTGGTGGTCATCTAGGTCTTGTTAGATGCCCCCTAAAATCAAATAATGTTATTTCCATAAAACAAATGCAGACTAGTTAACTCTTGTACCTTCTATCTCCAAGTAAAGTACCTATTCTGATTTGTCTTTAATAAGGTCTTTCACTTACACGTCCCAAGCTAACTATAAGATTCATTGGTCACTTCTACATTCTGCACTGACATTTTATATAAGATATATATAAGATATAACAAGGGCATATACTCATAATTATCATATATATTAATGCTATTAGAATATATTAAATTGTCAACAAAATTTAAGATATATTTGAAATCTTGCTGTATCAAAAATATGTATACTTAGGGCCATTATTGTTCATTTAAAAAATATTTCCTGCCCTGGCCGGTTTGGCTCAGCGGTTAGAGCGTTGGCCTGCGGTACAGAGAGACCCGGGTTCGGTTCCTGCTAAGGGCACGTACCTCGCTTGCAGTTTGTCCCCGGCCCTGGTTGGTCGTGCGGGTGGCAACCACTCGATGTGTCCCTTCACATCGATGTTTCTCTCTCTCTCTCTTCCTCTCTCTCCCTCCCGCTCTGTCTGAACAAAAAATGCAAAAATGTCCTCGGGTGAGGATAAAAAAAAATAAAAAAAATAAATAAATAAAAAAGATTTCCTTTTTGGAAAGCTGCCAGGATCCCTGTGCTGGTCATTTCCCCGTGGTGCAGAAGCCATCTTTCACAGGCAGCGCTTTCCCAAACCTACAGCATTAGTTTGGGGGGATCAATAGCCCCACCCATTGAAATCCCTCTTGCCCCTCTCCATGGAGCTTGACCCCTGTTTAGGACTACAGCTAGAGGCTCATTAAGTGACTGTGACTAACAGGCAGCCTGCAGGCAAGAGATGGATCTCTGGGTGCTTTGAGTCTTTGCTTGACTTGCTCCTTGGCCCAGGCTAGTAAAAGCAGGCCCTGGAGCACAGCTTGGTCCTTTCTACACACACCCAGGCCCAGTAGAGGGAGCCACAGGCTGTGGATTGCTGATAGCTCCCAACAGGTTGTTCTGGGCCAAGCATGGACAGTATCTGACAATGGTCTGTACTAGAGTCCCTCCAAAGAAGCCCAGACCAGCACACCCAGTGGCCAGCTTCAGACAACAACATAGCAGGATTAGTTTCACAAACAGCATATCCACAGGGAAATATTGGCAGGCACCAAACCCTGCTGAGGCAAATTTCACTTCTTGTGATCAACAGCTGTACAGCAGCCTGCACACTGTGTTAGGGGTTGAGTCTCACTGTCAGCTAGCTGGAGGGATGAGCCCATGCAAAAATGGGCTGATAGCAATCAAAACTCAATTACAATTGGAAGGCTTACACAACATGCTCAAGGGACATTATTAGAGCACCCAGGTCTGGTGATCAAGGACACTGCATAACTAGGTCCCACAGGTCACCTACTACATCAGGCCATCCTACCAAGACTGGGAATCACAGCAGGTCTACTTAATACATAGAAACAAACACAAACTGGGAGCCAAAATGGGGAGACAATAAAACAATCCCCAAATAAAGGAATAAGAGAACTCGCCAGAAGAGCTAAATGAAGTGGGTGGAGGTGAGCAATTTATCTCACATAGAGTTCATAGTAGTGATTATAAATATTCTCCACAGCATGAGAGAGGATATAGAAACCATAAAAAGAACCAGTCAGAAATGAAGAGTGCCATATCTGAAATAAAGGATAAATTGCAAGGAATAAACAGCAGGTTCAATGAACCAGAGGAATGAATTAGTGAACTGGAAGACAAGGGAGAAAATAACACCCAATCAGAGCAGCAAAGAGAAGAAAGATTTTAAAAAGGAGGATAGTTTAAGAGACCTTTGGGACAGGGGTTGCTTGAAGAAGAAGAAGAAAAAGAAGGAAGAGTAGGAGAAAAAGGTGGTGGAAGAGGAGGTAGAGGAGGAGGAGGAGGAAAAGAGAAACATAGGTAAAAAAATAAGATGGCAATAAATATATACCTATCAATAACCACTTCAAATGTAAATAGCTTAAATGCTTCAATCAAAAGACATGATTGGTGAATGGATAAGAAAATAATACCCATGTGTATGCTGTCTTCAAGAGACCCACCTGAGAATGAAAGATACACACAGACTAAAATTAAAGGTATAGAAAAAGATATTTCATGCAAATGGAAAGGACAAAAAAGCTGGGTTAGCAATAATTATTTCTGACAAAACAGACTTTCAAACAAAAGCTATAGTAAGAGACAAAGAAGAACACTACATAATGATAAAAGGATCAATCCTACAAGGGTATATAACACTTGTAAACATTTATGCACCCAACATAGCAGCATCTAAATATGTAAAGCAAATCTTGATGGATATAAAGGGAGAGATTGACAGTAATAGAAATGCAGTAGAGGATTTTAACACCACATTGACATCAATGGAAAGATCTTCCAGACAGAAAATCAACAAGGAGATGAAGGCCTTAAATGACAAACCAGATCAAATTGGTTCAATTGACATCTTCAGAGCATTCCACCCCAAAGCAGCACAATATACATTCTTTTCAAGTGAATATGGAACATTTCCTAGGACAGACCACATGTTAGGATACAAAACAAGTATCAATAAATTTAAGAAGATTGAAATGATATTAAACATCTTCCCTGACCACAATGCTATAAATCCTGAAATCAATCACAAGAAGAAAACTGAAAAACACACAAAGATGTAGATGCTAACTAACATGTTACTAAACAATCAATGAGTTAACAATGAGATCAAGGAGGAAATCAAAAGATACCTTGAAACAAATAAAAATGAGAACACAACCACCCAAGATCTGTGAGACACAGGGAAAGCAGTCCTAAGGTGGAAAGTCTTAGCAATACAGGCCTATGTAAAGAAACAAGAAAAAGCTCTCAAAAAATATATATGTAACTTTATACTTAAAAGAACTTTAAGTATAAGAACTTTATAAATAAAATCAGAAATAGCCCTGGTTGGTTTGGTTCAGCAGTTAGAGCATCGGTCCTCAGACCAAAGGGTTGTGGGTTCTATTCCTGACCAAGGGTATGTTCCTGGGATTCAAGTTTGATCCC